TATCAAAATGATTAAAATGTATTTAGCTTTTATTGGTTTTTGATGGAGATTCTATATTATTATCTTCACTACAGAATTTCTGAGTAATTTGAGGCATTCCTTTTAAGTTCTGTTTAGTCTTAGCCAGTAGAATACAGTACAGAGTTATTCTCTTTTTCTTTTAAACTTTTTAGCAAGTTCTTGGAGACGTGCTGATGACAGGAAAGATGACCGGGCGGAAGAGCGGGATGCCCCTCGTCGTGTTCCTCCCCCAGCTCTTTCAAGAGATCGGGAAAGAGACCGGGACCGAGAAAGAGACAGTGAAAAAGAGAAGGCCTCGTGGCGAGCTGAGAAAGATAGGGAATCTCTTCGTCGTACTAAAAATGAGACTGATGAAGATGGATGGACCACGGTACGACGTTAAGTCTCAAGATAATGGATTCAAACTCACGTCTTACATAGGTTTGATCACATTCAAGGATTATTATACTTGTGCTTCAACCAATCTAAATTGGATTCTTTAATGTTGTCTCACCATAACACAAAAAGCATGAACTTGTATTAATCCTATATAATAGATTGATCATGCACCGTATCCACAGAAGGTTGGAAAACCATGCCATTTTCTGGGTGTTGCATTATTTCATCAATCATTTGTTTACAAAAAAGAAAAACTAAAAAATAAATTTAAAATGTGAATCCTTCAGGTATTGAGTAACACCTGTATCTTGGTATAGAACTGATCTTTTTTCTTTTGATTTTGAAATATCTGATATTAATTTGGAATGAGGTAAGGTTCTGTTATAGAAAATATATTTGAAGACTTTTAAAGCAGGGAGCTGAAACACTTGTCACACCATTAGTAGTTGAGACATACCTCTAGGTACTTTGAGGTATTTACTATTAACTTGAGGAGGTTTTTAGGTTCATTATACGTGCAGTAAACATTACAAATGTTGGATACAGTGGGGTTTTCTTTAGATTTTACTTGAGAGAAGGTGAGTATAAAGCAATTTGCAGTCATTATTAATGACAAGAATACTGCTCAAGGGTGAATCCAAAACAGAGCTTTTAAATTTTAAAGCATTTGGTAAACTATTGCTGGATTTCTTCTGTTGCCAATAGCAAACTGCTTTTCCATTAACGGAGAATTCATGCCTTTCAAGCATTTTAAATATGACAATATTTATAAATGTGTGGTTTGGAGGAATTGTTTAAATTCTTTTTCCTAATTTCCTTTCTCTTCAGGATAGATTTCTTTCAACAAGTAATTTGTAGTAATGACTGTGTTGACTTCAATTTTGGAGCGTAGTAGCTATGTTAAAGATTAACTATTTGGTCTTATTGAAGCCAACACAGAACTTGCTGCTGTGTTTTTTCTTCAATGATAAATAAAATACTTACAGAATTTGTTTCAGTGTTGATTTGTGGTTATAGTCAGAGTGTTTTGTTTATAATGGTGAGTTTGCATGTTCAGGTGAGTTTATTTTACTTGTTTTACCAATGCTATTAAATGTCTCAGTGTTTAGTATCAAAGAAAATAACCTAAATATAACAGAAAGCAAATGTGGCTAGGATGTTTCCTCTAAGATGTCCTCCTTTATTAATTGAGGAAGTTCTCATAGTTTTCTTATAATGCTGTCTTCTCTGTGAGCCCGTATGCATGATGTGTGTGTCAGTGCACCATCTTGGGTTTTCCCCTGAAATTACAAAAATCATAATTAACTTCAGAGAATGTTAGTTGCAAATTTATAGTGGCTGTAGGCACTTACATTATTTCCGATATTGAGTAGTGGTGAGAATTCCTCTTGGTACAGCTGTAAGGCCAGAAGAGGGAGTATTGATGCTTTCTTATTTAAATAATCGGATGTAGTAGCCTTTTCTGTTTCATGTTACCGATGATGGAAACCACTTTTTTAAAAAGATTTAACTTTCTTAATATCTAGTATTTCAAACAAGTGGAAGTCTTAAATGGTCTTTTCTGAGGAGAGGGCCTTTTCTTTTTGTAATGAGTAAAAGAACTTGGGGCAGTACCTGCTCTGAGTCTTAAGTTAGTAGAGCAGGACTGTCCCTGTAACATCACAGATAGGTCCCAGCGGACAGTTCGTTTAAGCTCATTTGTTAGATGAGTTACAGAAGCATGTCTGATGGTTAGGTTCCAGTCTGCAAACCATCCCTTCCTGCCCAGACCCTTTCCCAGACGTAGTGTTCTCCCAAGTTCTTTGTCCTGGGAGTCAGAATCCAGAGCATAGGATGAGGGCAGAAGCAGCTGCTTTGTGACTCTGCTCTTGCGTTTTTACTCTCAAGGCTTCACAACCCTACCCGCCTCCGCTAGTATTTACGCACAGGTGTCAAAGGAGCTGACAACCAACCTACTCACTGCTGTGCTAAAATGTCTTCCACGTTCCCCACGGCTTCTGCATTTTAAACGAGAATGTCTGAGAATGTCATTGCTGTTAAGACGGATGGATCTGAGGGTAGAGACGGCAGCCCAACAAAGACTCGATGTCCTATTGGCTGTCTGTAGTGGCTACTAGGAGGAGGTCGGCATCCATCTGCGTGGGATTCTTTATGTCAGGGAATTACCTACGTTTTATTTTTTACCAAAGACATTTTGACGGTAGATTGGTTTATAATTTTACAAGTCTAGTTGAAATATATGGGACGTTCTGGAAGGAATGTTAACGTTGTGTTGTGGCTAAGAACAGACCAGAAAATTAGGACTAACTGAAACTTTTCTTTCCTTTGAAGTATATATTTGTGATGTAATTTTAGTTTACTTATAATAAATCTATGCCAAAAGTTTTTTTTTCCCCCCAAAGCCCCAGTAGATGATTGTACGTCATAGTTGCACATCCTTCTAGTTGCTGCATGTGGGATGCGGCCTCAGCATGGCCGGAGAAGCGGTGCATTGGTGCGTGCCCGGGATCCGAACCCGGGCCGCCAGTAGCGGAGCGCGTGCACTTAACTGCTAAGCCACAGGGCCGGCCCTATGCCAAAAGTTAAATAATAGTTCTGCAGCTTCCAAAAAGGACTTCATAGGATTAAAGTTTAAAGAAATTAAAAGTCACTGGAAACGGCTCTGCAGAAAAGGACAGTCACGTTTGAGTGATCTGTGCCTCCAGAGTTGGTTAAAGCTCTTTTGAGGATTCCACACATTTTTTTAGCCAAATATGCAGCATGTTCTTATAAAAACAAGGTAATTTTGTCACTTTTCATGTATTATTTGAACTTTGAAAAACTGGGTTTCTTGTACCCTAAATTTAATTTTGCAAGTGTTTGTTTCAGATTGAGAATTCTAAGGTTGCTTTTAAATGTATTAGTGTGTGGTTAGTATACTTTTCATAAGAGATCTATAGAAAATTAATATTAATAGTCTCTGTTCATGCTTTAACTCCCAGAATTTTAATGTTAGCTGGAAAACTGAGACAGATTTGAGGAGGGCTGATAGGGGAGTTTTTGTTTTTTTTTTTTAAAGATTTTATTTTTTTCCCTCAAAGCCCCAGTAGATAGTTGTATGTCATAGCTGCACATCCTTCTAGTTGCTGTATGTGGGACTTGGCCTGAGCATGGCAGGAGAAGCGGTGCCTGCGCGCCCAGGATCCGAACCCCGGGCCGCCAGCAGCGGAGCGCTCGCACTTAACCGCTAAGCCACGGGGCCGGCCCTGGGATGCTTTTTAAATGGATTAACATAATGGTTGTCCGATTAGTTGCGAGTCTTCTGGATACCTTTCCCAGTAATCTCCTGGACTTCAAGATCTAAACTCCATGTTCAACATGTTCCCAGTTCAGGTGCAATAGTAATGGTGTCAGAATGTCAAATTCATGTTAGGCACGTCCCATCACTGAGGGATTCTCATGTTGAAGATATTAAAGCCACATGCCTGAAACCTGAAAACAGTGTAATTTGGCTCTTTTTAAATATACCAAGTAGCTGCCTGCCTAGTCCTGTTCTGGAGAAGGCTCTGATCTGTTTATAGTGACTTGAAAAGGTAGAACAGAGCAGTGCTCCCACTGGTAACAGGAATTCATATTGACCTGAAAACTACCCCAAAAGCAAAATAATTTAAACTGGTATATTTTGTAGCAAAAACGGAATAAGTAGTTACATGGTTTTATTAAGCTGCTTAAGTTTAGGACTAGTCATATCTGAAGTTCTCTGGTCTGGGGCTAGACTAGCAGGAGTAGATTATTTTTTCCTGGCTGAGAAACAGTTTGCCTACCCCACCCCCTTGTTCTGATTCTCCTTCCTTGGACCACAAAGGCTTACAGCTATCCAGTGTTATATGCCCCAGCCTCTATTACACCTTCAAAGGAGTGTTAAAATCCAGCCAATCTGCTGTGGAGGAAGTTTTCTGTTTAATATGAAAACAGTCTCTAACAATGTAGCTAACCTCGCCTACTGAAATCTGTATATACATAGACCACATCTCTTGTGGGTATTTCAGATAGTGATGCATTTTGTGCATTTCAGATGCATTCCTCTTAATTGACTTCCATTTTTGCCTCCTGTCTTGATGGTAGATAAGCTACATGCCAGGGTGTGGCATTCAGCACGGTGGATTTAAAATTAAGGGTGAGAGGTAAAGTAGGGGTTAAGAACCTTTGCCCAAGGATCAGGTTTAATCTCATTTGTGGATAACTGGTGGGATTCCAGAAACGGATGGGGCTTCCAGTGAGAATGGGAATATGAGCGAGGCTGTGTTCGTCTCCAAGCCCCACTCCACAATTATTTCCTTTAATTAGTGCTTATTCTGGTTTGAGGACTGCCTGTGCCTAAAGCCGATACAGCCCAGAGTGGAACCTTCTTGAATACAGGTTATTACATTAACTTTCCGGAGCTCAAAGGATTCCATCTTCCATTTAGTTTGAGGGGCAACAGCTGGCATGAGCTAGGAACCCTGAAATTGAGCAATTCAGGGTGAATTAATGCTGCTCCTGTTTGATCTTAATAGTACAGATGTTTTTAAAGAACTGCAAACGGGGAGTGGGTGCACAGACAAAAAGGCCAAGTAGCAAAGTTATAAGCAAGATTAATGAATTCATATACTGTTACTGTATAAATACACAAATCAAGTTTTTTAAACAGCACCATTTCCAAGTGTATACACAATATGATTATAACTTGGCACAGTTTTTAAAGGTGGAAAACGCTAGTTCAGTAATAAAGATCTGGTACATCAAAGGATAAGGAGCTGTATTCTACCTGCTACAGATTGTGCATTTTTACACCTCCAGCCAGGACAGAAACGAGCCACAAGGGAGGGATACCCATCCAAGTTAATCCTGGCAAGTTTACTAAACCTTCCCTCTCAAAACGGTGATGCTGCCAGGGGCTTGCTTCACCTGAAATCAGAATAGGTGATTAAGGACAACGAAGAAATATTGTTGCAAACAATAAAAGTCATTTTGCCAACATTCCATAAAATCCCCAGTTTTAAGTTCAGTCAAGAGGCTTTTAAAAAAATATTCTAGACCTAGTAAAGAGCCTCTCTTCATAAAATTAAACATCCAAGATTAGAATGAGACAATTTCATACTGATGCGCATCTAAAATAGGTCGACGTATACAGTAAATAAACAGCGCCTCTAAATTGCCGTATTTCAGTTAGTGGGATACCCAGCCTTCACCGTCTGGATGTGCACAAACGAGATAAATCAAGATTTGAGCGTCTAGTCTCAACCGCTCTTCAACAGGAAAGTACTCCTTATGGCCGGCAGGCGTGCTTTGAAAAAACCGAGACTACTTCACAAGTTGAGCCAACTCCTGAACTCCAAGCCTCCCCAACAGCAAGGGAAAGACGGTGCGCAGACCAAAACTGCGCCGGCGGTGACCCTGGTGGCGTCAGGTGGCAGCAGAGCGGAGCCCAGGCGCTCAGCGCAGCTTCTTGCCCGGCAGGCCGTCCCTGGCGCTGCGCGGCGGCGGGCGGGCGGCGGGCGGTGGCGGCACTTTGGAGAGCGGGCAGTACTTGATGGTGTGCGCGTTGTCTCCGTTGGCGCCGCACAGGGGACACGTGTAGCGGCGCAGGACCGGGCACAGCACGCGCCCGTCGGGTCCCTTCAGGATGTGGGTGGTGTAGAGCGCCACCGCCTCCTTGTTGTTCCGGCAGAACACGCACACCTGCAGCTCAGGCTTGAGCAACCGGGCGGCGGCCGCCCCCGAGGCGGCGTGCAGCCGGGGCTCGGGCGCCCACGCCGGGGCC